TGTGTGTGTGTGTGTGTGTGTGTGTGTGTGTGTGTGTGTGTGTGTGTGTGTGTGTGTGTGTGTGTGTGTGTGTGTGTGTGTGTGTGTGTGTGTGTGTGTGTGTGTGTGTGTGTGTGTGTGTGTGTGTGTGTGTGTGTGTGTGTGTGTGTGTGTGTTTGTCATAACTCTAGAGTCATTATCTCTAATCAAGTAAAGGAGATTACTTGACTCTAAAGTGAGAACGTCAAACAGAACGAAACGACTACCCCACATGTAGTCTCTCGATTGGAGGAGCATGTGGTCAAACTAGAATGCCACATCACCGAGGAGAAGGATAAAGTCAAGCAGCTTTGTCAAATTGATGCCACTCGAGTGGCTGACCTGAAGGCACTGTAGAGATAATACCATGCCTTGAATACAACACTAAGTGATAATCAAGGTGTTGAAGTGATAAATTCCAAAGCACGAACTCTGGGTCATCGAGCTAGCCAAATAGTCAATGGCTGAGGCCATACTATCGAAGAGGGATGCTAAGATGATTAAAAGGTCAAGTCCTTAGTCAACTTCAAAAAAGGGCTATTATGTTCAAAGAAATTATCTTTCAAATACGAGTATCTTCTTTGATGATAGCTTAGAGTCCCCTCTCGACATCGACTCCTTGAAATGCTTGCCCATGAATCCTCCTCGATCAGTACGAGCCCCTCAATCGATATTCCTCCCTTAGAGAATGCTTAGCTCCCAATGAAATAGTGTATTTGTTTCTTTTTCTCCTTTTTCTTTTGATTGGGTAGAGATATAATACCCGACCCATACAATGTGGCACATTCCAAGAATAGAATTTTATTTGGTAAATCTATTAATTTGTAGAATTATAAGATGTTTTTTGATATAACTCTTCGATTATGACTCCTCAATTGGTCTACCCATATCGATGTCCCTCAAGCTAAGGATAAAACTTTATAAGATTGGATATATGTCACGTCTATAGTAGTAGTGACCCCTCCATCGTTTTAAGGTGGTAGGTCTCATCTTAGACCATTTCAGTGACCTGATATGATCCTTCCCAATTGGGAGCTAAATTTCCTCATAGCGCATTAGGTCACTTATCTCAGCCTTCTAGAGGATCAAGTTACCAAGGTCAATTCCTTGGGGCTAGAAATCCTTGTTATAGAGTTAGAAGATAGTTTTTTTTTTTTTATTGAGCATCTTCAAGTGTGTCTTGGTTTGAACTTCATCAATAAGATCCAACCTTAAGCAAAGTCTCTCCTCTGAAGTGGTTTCATTAGAGCTTTCAACACAAAGGGTTGGGAATACTATCTCGAGGATAATGATGGATTTCGTGTCAAATGCTAGGCTCAATGGTGATTCATTCTACTTAATCTTTGATGTTGTCCATAAGACTCATATGATGCTAGACAAATTATTATCTCGAGTGCTTTTTGCGTCCACCACTTGTTTCTTGATACCCTCCAATATGGTTTGGTTTTTATCACATTAACCAAGTCATTGGTTTGCGAGTGGGCCACTGAGGTAAGTCTAAATTGAATACCGAAGGATTGACATAATTCTTTGAAATTATGATTATTAAATTGAGTTCTATTGTCGATGATGATGGCTCTCAAGGTCCCAAACCGAGTAATAATTTTCCTTTACATGAACCCTACTTGTTTCTTGATAGTGGATATGAGTGGTTTGGCCTTGACCTACTTTGTGAAGTAGCCTATCCTAACTATTATGAATCAACACTATCTTGAGACCAATGGAAAGAGCTCGAGAAGGTCAATTCCCTATTAAACGAAAGGTCATTTGTAGTCGATTGAGTTGAGGTATACTTATTGATGCCTAACTTGCCTCATTGAAGCTTGGTTAGTAAGGTGTGTGTCGTCCCTTTTATATTGCAGATGTTGTCTATCCGGTAAGGTTTGTCTTCTGCTTGGGAGACATGCAAGGTGTCAATGCTCCTCATCAGTAGCATCTCGACCTACATGCATCTGTCTTTCACCATTTGGGTCGAAGCTAGCTCATTGGCCTAAGTATTCTCCTCTTGAGGTATATTTAAGATCTCGAATTTAGAAAAGTGGGGGTAAGTTTTCATACCTCGATAAGGTATTTCACCATCATTGCGTCCAAGGCATTAAAGTCTCTTTTAACTTAGTTTCGCACTAATTGGGAGTCATTGTATGCTGCGAACTCCCTAACACCAAGCTCTCTTATCAGCTTGAGATTGGACAAGAGGGCCTTATACTCTATCTCGTGATTGGATATCTTAAACCCAAAGCATAGAGCTTGCTCATATGCCTACGCATCGAGGCTTTTGAGAATAAATTTGGCTCTTCCTCCTTTGGTGGTGGTCGATCCGTCGACAAAGAGGGTTCAGGTAGATAGGACAGGTTCATAGGTTAGGTATGGTAGAATAACCTTTAAGATGAAGTATGCTAGAACCAACCTTTATCGTCACCCTTAGAGCACAGAGGACATCAAATTTGTCAAACTCTAATGATTATCTCAATAGAGGACATCAAAGCGACTGATCGATAATCACCTACGTAACATGAGCTTAAAAATATTAACATAGCTTCCTTATTGCTGGCTCTATAATGAATGCAAACTCAATTTAGATCATGTACAAAAGATTTCATATTTAAATTTATGTTAACTCAAGAGTAATTCTTTATAATTTTTTATTTTCATATAGTGATTTTTTTTTCTCCATTGATATAATTAAGGAGAATTGCACTATGTAAATTTTGCATCAACTTTTTTAAATTTATACTTAATTATTAATTTATAGATTTATTCTTGTGATTCAACTCTTGTTACTTCAATAGATTTATACAATACTTATCATAGAGAAGTTTGATTAGAAAATAATTTTATCTTTTGACCGAAAAAAAAAGATGAATGATCTTGTAAATTAAAAAAATAAACAAAGAACTAAAAAGAATAAAGCATGCAAATCTTTTTTTCCTAACTAATAATTTATTGTTAATAGTTATATTGCAGTTTCAATGATAACTTAAAATAGTTTTATCTAACTAACAGTTTAACAAGTTATATCCCAAATATAAGGTATATAAAAGTGATAATAAAAAGAAAGAGACGTGATAGAACATCTAAAGATATCTAAAGAAATATTTTTATTTAAATGTATTCAAAAAATATTATTTGCACTAAAGAAAATTAATGTAAGGATTGATAAGGAATATAAGATATAGTTATGAAGCTTACTACTCACATCCATTTTCTAATATTAATAGCCTCCTTGCTATTTGATAATCCCTTAAAAATAATAAAATATTATTTTAGGATATTACTATTAGTAATCTCTTTTTACTTTTTTAATCCCATATTAAGAATTTTAAATTTTCTTAAGTTATCCCTTTATAAATAGACATATATATATATCCTTAATTTATAACTTAATTCTAATAAGAACTTTTCACTCCTTATATATAATCTTTTTTCTTCTATTTTTTTCATTCTTCTCTTTTTCTTCTTCTTAATCACAATGATGTAAAATGATAAAAAAAAAGATAGATAATAAAATGAGACGAACCAAAGATCAAAGTTGAGAATGTAAGAAATATTTTTTTATATTTATTCTAATGATTTAATATTTTTTCATATATTTTGTAATAACCCAAAAGATATCATCTTTTATGTCAATTATATTAACCTATAAGATGTCATGTTTCGAGCTTTTACAAATTGTCCGATAAAGTGCATGAGTGGTAGGGAAAGCTGACGACAGTAGGGTGTAAACGCAAAGATTTTGAGGAAGGAAAAAAATAAAAAAGGGATAATAATAGAATTAGATAGGACTGTAAATAATAAAGTATTATTTTATTAAACTTTAAAGGGGTTATGAATATTATGAAGGTGCTCTAAATAATAAGGTCCTTATTTTACTATATATATATATAAGAGAGAGCTGAGCCTGCACAAGACTTGAGTTGGGCTGGGCTGAACGGCTCGTGGGCCAGGCTACGTGTACGGGCTCACATCGCGAAGCAACATATGGGAGATACTTGAGAGCGCGCATGACTCCATCCTCACGCAACACAAGCGCATGAGTCCGTCAAAGTGGAGGAATCTCGTGACATGTGTCACGAGCAGTGCATGACAACAATACCAATACAACTTGGTTGGGAAGTGACACAATAAAATTATTAGGACCACGATAAAATTTGATACAACATAATAAAGAGCGGCACTGTTCACGATAAAAGGACGCGGGTGGGCGACGGAGTCCAAAGTACACACCGTGCACAGATTCCCACCCAATCCCACCGTCTAATCATAATAAATATGATTGAATCCATGGATGAACTTCTATAAGTAAGTCTAATCATAATAAATATAATTTAATTTGAGCATCAAAATATTTTTTTTAATTAAATTTATTTTATTATATCAAATAATAATATATGACTGAATTTGAGCATAAAATCTATCACTCATATAATAAATAATACATTATACCAATCAGACAGAGATAGTTGATCCGTATAATAAGTACGTTTGATTCCCTCCGTCTCACGCTGTTCGTGAGTCGCTTGCTTCACATGGTACGGTTGAGTGCAGCGCAGGAGATTCCTTCGGAAAGCGGGAGGATCGCCACAGATAACTCGATCGGATCACATTCCACTTTGGAGATATTCCCCAATCGGTGCTCGGCATTAGGCGAGCCATTTTCCCCTTCTTTTCATGAAAGAATTAATGCGATGGAACTGTAAGATGCTAACATTAGGCGACCAAGGCTTCCCGATTTGGCGTACCGAAGCAGGGGGCCGTGAAGCAGAAGCAACTCCCACCTGCTGCCGCTTTAGCAAAAGCGCAACGCGGTCATGTTCTCGTAAACAAAACATCAAACACCTGTCGCGCGTTAGGTAAAGGCGCAGGGCAGTCGTGTCTTCGTCAGCAGCAAATCAACAAACACTTGTCGCGCATGGCGATACGGTGGTGGATCAGGTACGCTGCCGTTCTCCAAATCCATTCAAATGCATGATGTTATTCCCCTTCCTTTCTTACCATTAAAAAATATTGATGACTCACTTTGGTTTCAAGTCATCAAATTTATACGTTTAATTTATACCCCTCTAGAAGAATTATATATATATATATATATATATATATATATATATATATATATAT